TTGGAAATTCAACTTATTCGATTCTAAAACTCTAAAATATGATAATCCAAATATATATATATATATATATATATATATATAACAATAAAAATCACGATAAGCAATTCATCTTGAATAAATTTGGGCATTAAAATAATATACGCGTAAAGAACCAATCGGTAAAATTTATTTTCGAGAAATTCATGTACTTTAGTATTTTTTTTTGGGTAACTCGAGTACGAAATATTTTTAAAATGACCAATTTAACAATATTTTGAAATAATAAAATTATGGGTCCTCACATCCTCTCCCCCTTAAGAGAATTTCGTCCTCGAAATTCATACCTTAACTCAAAAACTCCAGATGTCACTTTTGCATCCCACTCTTACGAATTGTAAAACTTTTTCCGCATTAAATATCACGTAAGTCTTGTATTCTTAATCTGTTCACGACGAGCGAGATAACAATTCCTTCATGCGGTTCACAGATTCAATTGCCTCAAGAAATTTGTCAATTCAAGAACAAATGATGTAATAACCCTTTAAATTGGTATACGCAATGAACTTTAAATATCTCGCAGATCAAATTCAATAAGATCTTATTAGCACACAAGTTTTGTCCTACTGGACCTTAACCCTAGTAATCTTTCAAAATAGATAGTAAGAGCCCTCAAGAATCAATAACTTCAAAATCATATCTAGTTCCGTATACATGTATGCAAATATTGAAGTACGAATTGAAACCTTACATTCAATAATATCTTATTGTAGTCCCCAAGTCATTTATGAGTATTACTGCCAATTTTTAACCCAAATACGACTTAAAGACCCAAATCCATTAATGCTACTGGTGTATTCATTACTCCCAATGGCATAATTGAATTTCAAAGTGCTTACTTTTCTGATGAACTAGCCTTAATCATATCTTCCTCTAGAATCCTCAATTAGTTGTAGTCCTGTATTAAATCTAACTTGGAAAGTACTACTGTCTCTTGTAGATACCCAAATGATTCATTTATGCAAGGTAAAAGATATTTATTCCTAATACCCACTTGATTCCAGTCTCGATATTATAGACATGGCTTTCTCACAAGGTTATAAGCATAACAAAATTTAGATATACGAATAAGTCATGAAATTGATTAAATGCAAAGTAAACTTTCATTTGCTATAAAAGACCATAATAGTTTCATAAAGTTAGGATAAGTTTATCAAATCATTTCAAAAGAAAAGCGAATAAACAAGATTGTAGCAAAACATGCTAAGTCATCCATGTTCAAAGCAACAAAAGATTTCATCCCTTACACAAAAGATTACAACCTTCAAAAGTCTCAGTATAGGCTAAGTTATAATCATAATTCCTGTCCTTAAGCAAAGTCAAATCCATCTTCACTCGTAGAGCTTCTAATACTTTGGTTCTTCTCACAACCATTAGTATTAACCACTCCCTCTAACACTCGACTGTTTTGCAGCAGACTTAACGAGCTGCTGAGGAGTTCATCGGGCAACTTAAAACTTAATGCTCAGGACTCCCGCATAGCAAGCATTTCCTTGTTTCCTTCAGCCCATAATCTCAGTGTGATTAAACTTGCCACAGTATCCACAAGTTACTCTACAAGTTACGGCCTGATTAGCTTGAGAATTCTCCTTTTTCTTTTTCTTCTTTTCTCTCTGCTCCACAACAAATTCATGTTCACATCTCTCTTTACGTTTCCCTTTTTTCATTATGGGAGTTTCCTTCACTACCCTTAACTTGGTTGCTAGAAATATACTGAGGTGAAACTTGAATAGTGGGTCGCATCTCCTCAAGTTTTTTTTTTCTTTCCTGAAGTTCCTCCAATACTCCTTCGTATTTCTTTTTCATTTCCAATTTCTTGTTCCATAATTCCATCTTCTCTACAAACTCTTGTTTGCATCGTTCTTCTCAGAATTCAACCAATTTAGTCTGAAATTCCAACTCCTTGCGAAGAACTTTTATTTCTATACGCATCTCTTCCAAACTTTTCATTTCATCCATTTGCTTAATCCTAACTGTCAGCCTATCAACAACTCAAAGCATCTAAATGAGTACCAAATCAAAATTTAAAACTTAACTATCCACAACCTATAAATTCTCACGCATCTAAGTCATCCAGGTATATTTACTCTTACCTCTCCACGAATTTGATACGTAAGAAAATTTACACCTACAAATAAAGTAATACCCCTTGATATAATGATATGTACTTCCGTTCTAAGGTCTTACTCACGTATGTAGTGAAACCATAAATTACACGCCATAAGAAACAAGTTCCAAACCTTGACTAAAAACTGTTACGCACTAATAAGACCAGAATCCTTTTCCTCAAAAGTTTGTCTAAATCAAACCAATCATGACCTACAAGATAAAGTCGAGACTTTTGATGTATTTTGAATGTATCTGTGGCAAAATGCGATTCAAAATTTTCAAAATTAGAGTTAAAGATACAAATTTTCTTCATGATCCAAAACTAAATTTTCTTAGTAAGAGATTTCAAATAATGTTTAACCACAATCATCAATACATATTTCAAATCTCTCAAATAGATTTAAGAAGATTAATCATGCAACTTAATGCATGAATTTTAAAACATATATATAATAATCATAACATATACATGGAGGGTGTTCCAACACTTTTCCTCAAAGTTTCGAGTTAAATCTATGTTCGGGTAAAGCGTATATTTTAGAAAATACCTTTAAGAAAGATAAATAGACATGTAGGTTCATATTCGCATAACCTGTGATCCAACACCTTTACCACCATTTTATATCCAAACCAAGAGCTAACTCTACTAGTACATAAAATCCGATCATTTCTAATCTCTGATTCATAACAAATAGGCATTCATGTTCCTAAGAAAAGATTCGAACTTGAACTCTATCTGATTTTGATTCTCAAACGAGTTCAAAAAGTGTATACATATATATATATATATATATAAATTTTGTGAAAAAGTAAAACAAGTGAATCTGGGTATAGTAATAGTCAAGTAAAATTGAAAGCGCTTTTGTTCAAGTAGAATAAATAGGTAATGAGTTCAAGTCATCTCACCAAACCAACGAAATACTTTCGGAGTTCAAACTTCATAAAAGTTGAAAGATGGCCATAGGACCACTCATAATATACGTATAAAGCAACTATTAAAATTTTGCATAAGAAAATCTCATCAAGTTCCCAACTAGGTTAATCCATTATACACTGGTAGATCTAATCTTCTGGTTTATTCTCGATTCATATTCAGTATGAGGGTCTCATTAAATTATATAAGACTATCCATCAATTTTCTCATGAGTACAGGGTTGTCTAAACCCTGGGTCACGACCCCTTTTTCCCATTCCTGCTGCTATACTTAATAGAAGTCTATAAGCACAAGAAAATAAATAATTAAACATAAAAGAACTTAATGCATATACAAGTTGCAAAAATATTTAGAATCAAAACATGCTTCTTTACATGTATCAAAAGTTATAGCACGAGTTAGAAGTCACAAAACAAGCCCAATATGTCAAATACTGCATATAGGCAATTAAGTGCCATAAAATATAGAAGTATATGCAAGCAGGATACAAAAGGCCTCACGGCGTGCACCACCCTTCCTAAGTCCTTAGTTAAACCAAAGGATCCAAATATCACTAATTTCAATTAGATCACATGCCTTTCCGAAATTAGATCCAATCAAACCATAACACAAGCTGAAACCAAAGGTTATCCATTCGAAATTCAAAATCTTTAATAAGCAAGCCACCAGCCAGAGTACCATCATCTCCAAGAATAACCAGTCTTAGGGTTTTATAGTTAAAGCCTCAAGCTCCAAGTTCAAACCCAAGAAATAAGTACAACTTGCTAACTTACGTGTCAAATGGAAACCAAGTCAATTCACACTAACTTCGTGCTCTTGAATGCGGTTATTCTATATTTCAAAGTTCCTTCAGCCCGTACACCTAAAGATAGGCTCACTCTTCTTGAAAACCAAGAATTTTAAAATATAAGAAGAGTAATCAAAGTAACCAAAAATCTTATCAAGTTCAAGATTTACATTATAAAAACATAAGTTCGTCATTCTTCCGAAAGCTCAAGATTTTTTTTTTTTTTTTGTAAAGCATAGACAAATTCAAGTGTGAGAATACACCAGTATACAATCAAGGGGGAAAAACTTAGTTTAGAAAATTTTAATCTTGTATCAGCCCATCGTATACAAAATTCAACAAACTCATCAGTTATTCACAAATTTTCAGTTTGAAATTCAAGTAAAATTCACATATTTACCAAAATCAGAAAATTATACATACTTAAAGCATATATATATTATTTCCAATCATCGTTTGAAAATAAAACTAGTACATCCTCGTTTTTCTTTAGAATTTCAAAGCAGAAATTCTCTAGGAGGTAAATGGGCAGGAAAATGCATTTTATTCCTTTGAAACTCTTTTATCTTGGTTCAAAATCACCATACATGGAGTTTGACCATCAAATCCCGGTCTCTTATCCTCTATAGCCAGTACTAATAATTGTCTCAATTCTTTCCATACTTACAAGTATAATAATAATTCAAATTCATCCAATCTTTCACTACTAATTCTCATCCCATATTTTCCTTCAATATAACATCACCTAATTCCTCAATTTTTTTTTATTTCTACAAGTCCCAAGTAAGAAACTCTCAAATAATCAATTTCTGTAACCCCTAGGATACAATAGGTCCTCATTCACATAATATTCAAAATACTCCCACAGTCAGGCATCCAAAACTTTAAGCCTAAGATACACTACGAGATCTAGAGCCTGGGCTCTGATACCAACTGTGACAGTCCCACCTTCCCCTAAGGCGAACCAAAGGGTTCGGCGGACCGCCTGCCCAACTCTCGCCGGGACTCACTACAATTTTCAAATAAAATACATCACTCACATCCAATAACATAGGGTACAATCTCAAGAATAAACGAAATAACAATTTTCAAACTTAGAACGAGATAAGATACATTACAAATCTCAAGTAAGGGTATCATTCCCCGAATAAGACAAAAGTTCTCAGTTCTCAAATAATTACATCAAATACTTATCAAGTGAATCGAATTCAAATTATATATGAGATATCCCTTCAGGCACTAATCACTCAATACAAGCGCTTTCTTTGGCCTCGAGCCTTGTGGGAAAAAATTATTTTTGGGGGTCACTAATTAAGTCTCAGAACTTCCACTTCCAAACCTGTTAAGGAAAACAAATTGGGGTGAGCTAACGCTCAGTGAGGTCAAGGGAAAAACATGCAAGCATGCTAGCAAAGATACAATACAAACCAATAACTGCGAAACATTAAGCAATTAGGGAATTTAATCACAATAAAAGGATACGGGAGCTCTCAGGAGCTAATCCACGCGCGATCCAAGCTCAGGTAGTTGACCCTCCGTCAACTTTCACAGTTATCCATGTAGAACTCCACTTACTACCTCCAGCCACCATGACACCCTCTTGGATCCGTAACCAAACAAGCATGTAGGTGGTATCACTTAACAAGTATTCCTAGCAAGACCCCTTATTTGGATCAAGCTATAACACTTCCCAAGATTCACCAAGTTTCTCGACCAAACCCTTGCCGGCTCGAGTTACAAGGCTAGCCAATGGGTTGGGGCGTCCCCTCCATTCACTTTTAGGTCGATGAGACGAAACTCCAATCGACAAGATTTGGTCATAGCATTGAGACGGGATGAGCGGTACCTCCTACCCTAAAAGGGCATGATACATTCTGCCGCTCAATGCTCACGAAAAACACTTTCATTTGCATTCACATGTAACACGTATCACTTATTAAGCAAGCAATTTCATGAAAGAGAGGACAAGGGTGATAAAGTACGCCCTAGCCTCATTAACTAGCAAGTACAAGAATCATTTCATTTAAACACTTCACATGCACTTGATACTCACCAAGTATCAAAAGTCAAAGTTTGAGAAATTAGCTCTAAGACGCTTCGCCGGGAGTTCCCTCGAAGTCCTCTTGAGATCCTGAAAGTATGCAATAATGCATTGTATCTCAAATTCCAGGCCATACAGTATTCGTGTAAAGAAAAGAAATAGTCAATTTTGACTCCAAAATTCAAGTTTCCAAAGTATTTCAATTCATAAGGAACCGACTTTCAAATGAGGTCTCAAGTGATAGGTGAACTCAAGTTCACCATGAAAATAGGTTTGAAATGCTCTAAGAGTTGTAAAAATGTAACCTAGGCCCTTAAAAGAACATTTAGGTCCAAATTGAAAATTTTCACTTTTCGAGTCATTCTTGGAAAAATCAGTCCGGAAGTTCGAAAAGTCTAAAAATGGAAAATTTTACACCGTCAAAAACTCCATTCAAAGCATAACAACTTTACAGAAGGTCACTTTCCAAGAATCAAATCAGAAACAAGTCAATTTCTCCAAGAAAGTTTACTATGCATTGAAGATAGGTCAAAACAGTCCAAGTTTTCCCAATAATTTTGGAATTTCGTTAAAAATCATAGAATCAAAACTAGCCTTTGAAATTTGATATGCATGTAAATTTCCAATCCAGGTTTCAAATAAAAAAAATGGAACTCGATTCCGATGTTCCTAGCTCAAGAAATAAAAAGTTGAAGTTCGCTAAAATTCCTGGACTGTTGGCCTTTCCAGAAATTTTCCAGATTTAATGCACTTCGCTAATTAGGCCGTATCTCACTCGATTCTCAGTGAAATTGAAAACGGTTGATGGATTTAGAAACTAGGTTTACAAGGCTATATTTGTGTAGAAGAAATCATTTCCAAAATCCAGACATAAGTGGTTCAAAATCAAGCAGAAAAATGGATTTTCTGGACAGTCTCGGATGAACAGTAATAAGCAGGCAGCCAACTTTCAAAACTCGCCACGAATCGCTCGGGATGAACTAGAAAATGAGCTTGGTACCATTTTAAAGCTCTAAGAGTCTACTTTCAAATGCTACAAATGGCAGTCCATTTCGATCAACGACCAAAAGGTTATAGCTACACAAATGTTGCTGGTCAGAAAATTCTGGAGCTTGTTCCAGTTTTGCTTCTTTACTTGTAACTCAAAATTTAACCAACCATTTGGGTTGATTTTTGGTGGACAACCACAATACACATAGCACAACATATCTACACCAATTTGGAAGCTCAATTTGCACCAGAAAATTTTCGAAATTACAGGGCAGCAGCAAACAAGAAAGTCGGCAGCAAGTCAGAAATTTCAGACAGTACCTTTTCCAAATTTCTAACTTTCTTCCAACTTCATTCCATCAATCATTCTATATACATGTAACATAGCACAATATCAGCAACCAAAACATATTAATTCGTCAAATCAGCCACCAATAAGCATCCTCAAACCCTCGAGCATGTCATGAAATTGCAAGAACATAATTACTCAACCAATCAACCCAAATTCTACCATAGGTTGCAAACCCATGCTACCTTTGCTCCATTTGAGCTATAATTTTGCAAGATTGAAGTGTGGGTGAGTGAGTTACCTCAAGAACTTAGTTGGACAGCTTTAGAGCAGGAATCTTGACCGAAATTCCTCCAAGAAAACCGATGAACAGCCCCCTCTTCCAAGCTAGGATCAAAGCCCTCTAATGGATGATGAAATTTGGAAGTGGATTGAGGTAATTTTGTAAGGATTTTGGCTAGATTTTTCTTCCCATCTTCGGCCCAATAGAGAGTGACGAGAGGAGAGAGAGTGAAATCAGGTATTGTAATGAAAGTGGAGAGAATCGGTGCCTTAAGTCTAAGTGTCAACTCATGCTAGGTCCGTTTAGGGTCTTCGCGTGTCCATTTTTCGCGCTCGTTTGCAACTTTTGTGCACTAAACCTCTGAGGTAATTTCCCTAGTACATTAATAGAACATTACTAGTAGTCTAATATCATGTTCTTAAAATCTCCAATTAATCAAATTAATGTGCCTGTCGGGGCCTTTTCGGCACGCGCGCGTATAAAGGTCAAACTTAAGGGTTTTCTCGTTTGAATTTGGAAATTCAACTTATTCGATTCTAAAACTCTAAAATATGATAATCCAAATATATATATATATATATATATATATATATAACAATAAAAATCACGATAAGCAATTCATCTTGAATAAATTTGGGCATTAAAATAATATACGCGTAAAGAACCAATCGGTAAAATTTATTTTCGAGAAATTCATGTACTTTAGTATTTTTTTTTGGGTAACTCGAGTACGAAATATTTTTAAAATGACCAATTTAACAATATTTTGAAATAATAAAATTATGGGTCCTCACAGTCCTGGTCGGGGCGTAGGGTGTGCACCCGGAGCTCGAGGTGGTCCCGGGGGGTAAACTGGTAGGAACCATCGGGCAAGCGCTCGATGACTCCCATCCTTTCTAAGTAATCCACATCCAAGAGCTCCATCTCGAACGCCAAATGTAGGTCATGGTCCTCCAGGTTAAGAACCCCTAGCTCTGTCGCCAAGTGAGTGATAAAGGACCCAAGGATAAGGGGTTTGTTCTTTTTGGCCAAGACCGTCTTGAACTGTGCTGCCAACCAACACCCCAAGTTGACCTTGATGTTATTCTGCATACACCAAATGAAGAAAAACTCGGGACGAGAGAGAATGCCGGAGCTGTCCTTGCGACCGGAATAGCTGTAGGCTAAGAATCGCTGGACGTATCTGGAGCTAGGGTCCCTAAGAAAAGAGGTCCTAGACCTAGAAGGATCGTAGCGTTCCCCATCGACGGACATGTCCTCCCATAAATCATGGTAGCAGGAGAGGAATGGCTCTACGTAGTCACAGGCACTCTCCGCATACTCCCTAGTCTCTGCATACTCTCTAGTAATGAACCCAAATGCCAGATTAAATTCGGTAATCGAAAAATTAAATTCCCGACCCATCAGATGGAAGCGAATGACATTAGGTGTCGCAACGGTGAACCTCGAGGGCAGCTCAAACTCAAAGGTAGAATAAAACTCCCGCGTTAGCTCGACAAAGGCGGGGCAAAAGATATCTAGATATGGACGCCGCCCGATGGCTGTAAACATCTGCTCGACCTCCTCTCGTATGCCGAGGCCCATCATGGTAAATTTGTCACTAATCTTACAAGGTATGATACGCCGCTCACAGACTTTGGCATACCTCTGCTGATCCGCAGGTCTAGTGAAGGTCAAGTGCCCTCCAAAGTGAGCTGGGGTATCTACCTGAGCACCCCTACCCCTACCCAAACGGGTTCGGACATTAGAAGAGTACGGTAGGTTGGTAGGTATATTCACAGGAATAGATGCCTGTGGAGGGGGCTGAGAACGAGAGGCTCTAGACCTAGAGGATGATTTTGGTCGCACCATGTCCTCCAACAGTGAACTCAAACCAACAAGAAGCTTCAACAGGTATAGAAACCAGCAAATGTAACTAGCAAAGGAAACTCAGCAGAACAAAGCAAGAATGTCCAGTAGTAACCCAATCAAGAACAAAAAGAAGGATTTCAGTAATTAAAGATGCCCAGTCAAGGCCTTCCCACCTCAAAAGTTGAAGCAATCAGTCAGAGGTCCCCCCCAACAATGAAATTGTGCAAACCCCAATAATTCCTCCAGCAATACAAGCAAACTAGACCTCAGCACATGGACTCACGACTGCAATATGTCAGCTCACCCCAAAAATTTCAACAAATGGCTCCAGTTGGCCAATCAATTGCACAAGTTCACCCAATTCCAAAATAAAAAAATAGCAATTCCAAGCAAGAATAATCCAACCAGTACCACTGGTATGACCCAGGCAACAATATCACTATGGAATGACCCAGGCAGTACCACTAAGTATTAAGAAATTGGGCGGCAACTGCGAATTACCTCCACCGTAGATGGTAGCCAAACGAAATGGGATAGAAAGAGCCGGTGTTGGCTGCAGTGGAAATGGTCAACGGCGAACAGAGCAGGGGCAGGTGGAACAGAGGCTGCTGCCGCGCCGGTGCGCCTGTGGTTGCGCTAGGAGGGAGCCGCATGTGGAGGCTGCGGCGCAGTAGAGCTGGTGGTAGGACGGTCGCGGGACTGAGGTGGACTGAGATGGCAGGCGATGGAGCTACAGCAGCGGCGACTGCGGACCGGAGAGAGAGGGATAGATCTGGCGGCGTGCGCATGCGTCAGTGAGGACTGCGTGTGGTTAGAGTGGGCGATGGTAATGTAAGGCTGCACTGGTGGCAGCGTGGGTAGTGGAGGAGGGTGGCTGGGTGTATGGGGGAAGAGATGGAATGGGAGGCGGCGTGCGCGGAGGGGAGCAGAGGAGAGGAAAGAAGGAAAAGAGAAAGAAAGAAGAAGAGAGAAAGAAAGAAAAGAAAGAGTTTTTTTTTTTTTGCAAGGAAATTGCTTCGGTTAAGAGGAAAAACTTTTTTTTCTTTTTTCTTTCGTTGAAAAATCAAAGACTAGCTACGGTTAAGGAGAAAGAAAATTTTTCCCTTTGATTTCGTATTTCTTCCTATTTTTTCTTTTTGTCCCCTCTTTTTTTTTTCTTTGAATCCTTACCTTTCCCGCGAATGTGACGCGGGCGCGTCAAGAGAGCAAGAGCGCTCCCAGAAGTTCAGGTCGTGAGCTTTCTGCACGTCACCACGCGGGCACGTCATGAGGGCAAGAGATCTCCCAAAAGTTCAGGTTGTGAGCTTCTTGTACGTCACCACGCGGGTACCTCCAATTCGCGTTTTATAAGTCGCGTTTCCTGCCCAAAACTTGCAGGAATGAAAACGCGACTGAAAACGCGCCTTCAACTCGCGTTTTATAAGTCGCGTTTCCTGCCCAAAACTTGCAGGAATGGAAACGCGACTGAAAACGCGCCTCCAACTCACGTTTTCTAAGGAAACGTGCAGAAATGGAAACGCGACTGTGCAGGTAAACGCGACTTCGAGTCGCGTTTTTGAATCTTGACCCCTTCCTGCTCTTCATCAGGCGGGCGCGTCAAGAGGAAATGCCACCTACATATCAGCAAAAACGAAACCTGAAACCCAAAATCAGTCGAATTCAAGGGAAATATATTTAAACTATCACACGAAATCAAACAAACAATTAAAAGAAACAATTGGGTTGCCTCCCAATGAGCGCCTTTCTTTAACGTCTTTGGCTAGACGTCGTCCAAAACTTTGCTTAAACTAAGCAAATCGAGTCTTCCAAGTGCACCATCTCCACCCGTTCAATTGGAACCCCTTCATAATACGGCTTGAAACGATGACCATTCACTACAAATTTCTTCTCAGTTTTCAAACTTTTGATCTCTACTGCACCATAATGAAAGACATTAGTCACAACAAAAGGACCAACCCACCGAGAACGTAACTTACCTGGAAATAACTTCAATTTGGAGTGGTACAGTAGAACTTTTTGCCCACACTCGAATGTCTTCCTTGAGATCTGTTGGTCATGGAAAATCTTATTTTTCTCCTTATAAATTACCGCATTTTCATAAGTTTCATTGCGAATCTCCTCCAACTCCTGTAATTGTAACTTCCTTTGGATTCCGCCCTCCTCAATATCCATATTGCATTGTTTAACCGCCCAAAATGCTTTATGCTCGAACTCTACTGGAAGATGACACGGCTTACCAAATACCAACCTATAGGGAGACATCCCTATAGGTGTCTTGTATGCCGTCCGATAGGCCCAGAGTGCATCTTCCAACCGTTGACTCCAATCTTTTCTATCGGGGCGCACCATTTTCTCCAAGATGGACTTTATCTCCCGATTTTACATCTCCGCTTGACCATTGATCTGGGGGTGATACGACGTTGAGACTCTGTGGAGTACACCATACTTGCGAAATAACGCAGCTACGGTTTTGTTGCAGAAGTGCGTTCCCCTATCACTGACAATAGCTCTTGGCATTCCAAATCGCACAAAAATATTAAATCTGATAAAATCTGCAACCACTTTCGAGTCATTAGTTCGAGTGGCCTTAGCCTCCACCCATTTAGACACATAATCAACTGCCAGCAAAATATACAGAAAACCAAATGAAGTAGGAAAAGGCCCCATGAAATCTATACCCCAGACATCAAAAATTTCTACAAAAATCATCGGGACTTGGGGCATATGATCTCTACGGGCTATATTACCTACCCTTTGACAGCGATCACATGACTTACAAAACACATATGCATCCTTAAACAATGAAGACCAATAAAATCCACTTTCTAAAACTTTATGAGCAGTTCTTTTGGGTCCGAAATGACCTCCACAGGCAAAAGTATGACAAAAAGCTAAAATCGATTAAAATTCTATTTCACTTACACATCTTCTCATCACCTGATCCGCACACCTCTTCCACAGGTACGGGTCATC